ATGGCGCCATGAGCCCAATAGTTGGGAAGTTCCGCCATTCGATTCCAGCATCACATCAACTGTCTCCATAGGTAAAATTCCGAGGAAAGTGCTCCCATTTCGGCATAGATAATCCCCAATGGCATATGGCCAGGAAGACAAAGACCTTGGCCTAAGAATTGAGTCTCGACCTTCTCCAACTCATTTCATTGAGTCTTCGTGAGAAAGGGACCCCAAATAGGAAAGGCGTATCCAACTGATCCCAGAGCATTAGTCTTGAATAGGTCGTGTGCAATTTGGGGATCGGTCTAAGTTTTCAGTCTTCACGGCCTCGACCATTTCCCCCCATTCAGCATCCGTTGGGCACCAAGCGCATGCAAATGAAAATGATGCCTTCTCTATTAGGGTATCGGCCTTGAAAGCCGATGTAATTCAATGCGCCTTCAAACGCAATGGTATTGGCACATGCACTTTGCATTTGCTTGGGGTGAAGAGAATCGCTCCAGCGGTGGATAATAGGTCGCAGTCTGCTATCTACATCTGCGCTTTGCAGCACCACGCTTGCAAGACGCACATCGCCATAAAGTCCCCTCTTGAACAACATTCTCCATATTGTGCTTCGTCCCAACATGCCTCCCATCAATCCAAAATAGTTCAAATTAGGGTGCGGCTCCTGTGGGGAGTGGGGTTGTACGTATGGTAGGGGAGCCAGTTAAGGAGAATTGTTTGTAGTGAATGAACGGGGATGGCTTTGAGATTGGTTCACAGTTGGGGATGGCGGCGGGAATAGGAGCTGAGGAAGTGTGGGAGTGAGGGAGAGTGGGAGTGGGTAGTGTGCGCAGGTAGCTGCTGGGCTAGTTGGCAATGGATCATAGTTGGTCTGGGCGGCGGGAATAGAAACTTGGCATGAGAAAGGGACACGAACCTGGCCAGCTCGTGAAAGTGGCCAGAGTGAGGATTCTGGATACAGCAACTCTTGAACCGTCACATCACCAAGCTATAAATAACACTCACTCCATCTGTTAGAACGGTTGTTCGGTTCGTGTGCGACAGAGTTGTCCTTCCTCGCGTGACCAGTTGTGAATGCCTCCCGTACCCCTTGGGTCGCCGCAGCCCAAAGGCTCATTGCACACTTGAGCCGTCCAAAGGCCGACACTCCTCTCGACAACAGCAGCATGGCGCCACATGCATCATGGAGCCATATCTTCAGATATATGAGAGGAGTAGTTCAAGTTGTAAGCGCTGCCAGTGCAACAGTCCACACGAATGTTGGCCACGATCTGTGGTGTTCACATGCAAGTGGCATCGGTCTCTGATAGACTAACACATCCGTTGTGCTACAAATTGCCATTACCAGAACATGAGGGTCGGTAGGTGATGTGCAAGAATGTGGGCCAAATATACAGCATACGGCTGATGCACCTCTCGCCACCACCCTGCACATATGTTCAGACTTCCCTAGCATCTTCATACCCATGTCAACCCATTCTTCGTGCATGCCTGGCATACACCACTGGTCCCGATCACATGCTCCAACTTTAAGTCATTGATCATATGAACCTGATTGCATTCGACTTGGCTACTTTCGTCCCAGACATTTTGACAGCATCTTTACATGCTGCCAATGCCCTGCAATAGGCAGTAATTCTGTCACTGTGCAAGACAAGCTGTTGAGCATATTTGCAAGCAAAGAATTTGTAGTTCAATATTAGCTACAGATATCCAACACAATAGGATGATAGGTGTGGCGTGCAGAGATTAAAACAGAGAGTTCTTTACTGATGGAACTTATTCACATCTCCAATGAAAAGCGCTGAATCACATGTTTCCACCACTTTGATGATGTGCATGCAATATGCCTTCACAGTTTCCTCCTCAAGTAAGCGACTTTCCGCTCTTCAGAATTCATTGCACCCCACTCGTTGGGATCCACCCTCAAAACGAACAGCCCGCTCGTCGCCAGCATCTTCTCCCTCCATTTCATCTGCCCAGTGGCCATCTTGGGCATGTTACGGAAGCGCAAATAGTCCCCTGTCCCTAGCACAAAGGTAGTCCCATCCTTTGTCGACAGTGTGCTGCCACAGAATGCGGACTCAGGCCCAAAGGCGGCCTGAGAGCAGCACTCGCCGAGGTCGCCACGCTGAGCTGCTTGCAGCACTTCCGCAGTGGTGCCGGTGGGTTCGTATCTCTCCTCCTCATCCAGCCACGACGCCCTGCAGGTGACATCCACCTCGACAGGCATTTGGGCAACAGCTTGTGCGTCAGGCTGCATGAGTCGCATGTGGAGGACGCCTTGGTAGAGTTGCCGCCTCTGGGAAGCGTTCATGTTCTCGAAACCGTGGTCGTCTGCCCTTTGAATCGCCCAGGACATGATGTCATCGTCCAAACAGTCCAGCACTGCAAAAGATGCGACTGCTGACATCGCATCCCGCAAACCCACATCGCTGCCGGCCCCAAGGAATTTCGCTCGACACGCTGCCAAAAACCCTGGATCCTGAAATGCAAAGACTGAGAAAGCAAACAAGAGGTTGCAAGTTTCCTGGAAATTGAAGAGCCTCAGCCGATCCGCGCCCAGGTCGGCCAGCCTTGACAAGAATTTGGGCCTTGGGAGGTACATTAAGCGGGCCATGGCCCACGCCAGGTTTGCAACCTCCTGGGGCTTGAAGCCCTCAAGGTTGTCCTCCACTGTGGTTGTGATGACCGCAAGCAGTGTTTCACATTCCTGACATTGAAGCTTTGCCAGCGCCCATGCTGTGTTGGCAACTCCCTGGGGTGTGAATTCTCGGACTAACGTTTCTGCGTGCTTCACAACGTCCACCAACAGATCATCATGGCTCCCCAATTCAGGTTTTGTCAGGCACCACAATAAATTAGCAACATCCTGACTGTTGAAGTCAGTGACGATCGATTTCAGCCCAGCAATGAGGCGTTGGGCTGTACCATAGCCCTTTGGATATGGCATATCCACAATGCCTCGCACCAAAATCAACACATCGGTGGGCGTAAAATCCTTGCAATAATCTTCTGACATTTCAACTAATTCAACAAACAGTTCCCCCGCATCAACATTGCCAATTGTCGTCTCACCAACTGTCTTAAGATCCATTGGTGGTGCTCTCAATGTCAGCATGGCACTCCCAAGCCTTGCGAACGACCACACAAGCTCGCTGATCTGCCTTGCATCCATTTCTTTCCACTTGGCTTTTATCAACACGAAGAGCGACGTGAGCACACTTCCATACTGCTGGATCACGAAATCCTGGACTCCACCTTTCACGGATACATTTGCAATGCGCTGCACCATAGCTGTTGCATTGCGGCAATTGAACTTCGGCTCCTGTAGTGCTATCAAATCCGTCATGCCATCAAGGCAGCGCTTCACTTCTGCTCTTGCTTTTGCAGAACCCCTGGGAATGTGGTCAATGCGATCCAGAGCAGACTGGGCCACCTTGGATATTTCGATGCTCAGCCACACTGACAACCGCTTTGCCCTTTTCGCCACCCGTTTCCTTTTCACTTCATCAGAGACATGGATATGGTCCCAATTCTGCCTGTTGGGCTGTCAACACAAGCAAGGAGCACACACAATGGTTACGTTGCCAGCTTGAGTATCTGCAATGGTAGGCATGCGACATACATGCACATACACCTGGCTTGTGCACATGCCATATACTTGGAAAAGGCCTCAACTACATTTTTAATGTTTTAGGATAAATTCCCAAAAAACAACCACGCCAACAACTGTTTCTATCACTATGGACACAATTTCTTGTGGCATTTCACTGCTCTATTCTCTTTTGTTATATCCAAAATCCCCACCCCTCCAGTCCTCTTTTGCTGCTGACGAGTTCTTGAGGTCAAGAATCCCCCTCCCCCACTGACTGCAAGTGCTTTGCTTCTTTCCAGCTTGCCAGGCCTGCCGATGTTTCCATTTTAAATCCAAAGAAATTGAAAAATAAAATAGGACTGGCTGGCAGTATACACAGCACAAGACGTACCCCAAGGGCTTGTGGGCACTGCTGTTCCACATACTCCATTGCTGTTCCTGCATCTCGTCACTGTCGTGCACATTTCTCTTTGCATGTGTGTGTCAACACTAATGCCGTGGATGATGTGGCATGGCAAAGCAAGCCAAGCAGTGCACAAACAGCCTCACACTCACCTTCTTTCCAGGGCGTTTGAATACCTGCTCAATCAGCTCAACCATCTCACGTTCAATATCATATTCAAACCCGCCTTCTTTCGTTTGTTCCTTGTCATAGTCGAATTTCGGGTCCCTGAACAGTTCCTTGCCCTGCAGCAGCTCGTTAGCATCAATAGTTGCTGCCCTCTTCAAGAACCTCTTGGCTTCAGCATCTGACAAGTCCCCTTCTATTTCAAAAGCCATTTCCTCTTCCTCCTCGCCCTCATCATCAATTTCCTCCTCGCCATCCAGTTCATCATCCTCATCGTCATCGTCATCATCGTCATCCTTTTCAAGGGCAACGATTTTCTCCAGCTTATCAGGGCTGAAATCAGGGATCCCAAATATCTCACCCATATCAAAGCCTCCCATTTCCACTATCCGAGCCCTTGCTTCTTCACTCTCCTCAAAAAGATCATCTTCCTCCAGTTCCTCATCGCCCTCCACGCCACCCTCTGTCCCATCACCATCGCCCTCCTCCAAATCTCCCAGGGGAATATCAAAGCCCTTCATGAAATCAGCACCCACATTAACACCTGGAGATGTCCAGGTATTGTCCTGGTCGTTGCCAACGTCAGAGGCTGAGCCACTGCTTTGCTGCTGGGATCTGACAACATCTCTGTTTCCAGATGACCTCATGGTGGTGTCACCTCCTCTGCTGCGTTCTATCTTTGCATGGCGACCTTGCTGGTCCTGTTCCTGGCTATCCCCATTCTTGAGGGTGGGCTTTTCTGAGGTGGCCCTCCATTGTGCAAGCGAAGTCCTGGCATTCTCTGCCGAAGCGCTTAGCCGGCTTTGGGCACTGCTGCCTTGTTTGAGGTCCCTGCCTGTATGTGGACTTGCAGACACCACTGAGCTGCGTTCTTCCGTGTTTCTCCTTACTGGTGCTGAATCGCCGCCCTTCTGCTGTGGACGGTTGCTGGGCTGGCCTTTAGTTGACCGTCTTCGTTGCCTTCTTACCTTGGGCCTCCTGAGAACCCGATCTTTGCTGGCCGCCTTGTCACTGCCTGAAGTTGAAGGTCCATCCTGCAAGGCAACATTAATGGCTAGTAGGAAACAGGTAAGATGAACTACTGAATGTAATGGACTGCTTTGAAGTAATAATTTGTCTGCAAGAAACAGGCACCTGAGAAAGAAGGCTCATGTGCACAGGTGCCGTAGTCAGCAGGGGTTGCAACCTTCTGCTGGCATGTAAATTCCTGCGCCTCAATCCCCCAGAAGAAGCTGTGCCAGACAATGTTCACCTTTCACAAGGGAGAGCGTGCTGCAACTCTTCTTGCACCCAGGCAATTCACCACAATCAGGGCTCTGTTGGGAGCAATGAGTATGTGCAGGTCTGGCATTGGTGCAGCAGGCAATACTATGCTCATGACCAAAAAAAGCAGCAATTCGGGCAGCAGAACAGGCTGCCATCAATTCACTGCGTGGCATTTCTGGCAAAATATCCATAACAAAACATAACAAAATCTGTCACTGTATTTATAAATGCGCATATGAAACCTGGACAGCTGTCAGCAGATTCATTCATACCAAACCGCGCCCAGCTGGAGATACAGGGGATCATACTCTCAACCCATTTGTATTCCACTGGTTGATCTGTAAGAGAATTCAGAGCAGCAACCTGCAATTGCGACCTAAGCATTGCCTCCTGACCCCCAGTCAGATCCATCGCCTGGTTTGGACACATTAATTTGGAGAGCTCAGGAAGTGCCAGGTGCGCTTTCCCTTCGGGAACACATGCGCACCCAATGAAAGCAACTGTGACATTGCTATCAAATGTCACTGCAAAGTGCAATGCTGGTGAGACGGAAGGAAAAACGATCAGCCGATGGCCGCTGAATGTCGATCACAATAGCAGTGGACTTACATCAGAAGAGATGGCAGCAACTCGCACCCCTCGGGTACTCGGTCTGCTGTGCCCTGGTGTCGTCGCCGATTTGACCACGCTGCAACCAACGTCGGTACAAGATCATTCACGCACTCCAAAGGATTGCAACAAATGGGAGAGAGGGAGCCGCAAAGGCCGCATCGCCAAGCGCGCCAATCTCGCGTTGGCGGCTTATGGTAATTGAGCCGCTGCGCCATTGACTCGTATTTTATCATCCAGGCAAGAAGTTCCATTCGCAAGCCCAAAAGCGAGTCTGCAGACCGCCACTGAGGCTCCATCCCCGGTCGGAAGAGCGTTTACCTGCGAGGCCGCCAGCTCGCTTGGTGAGTGGGTGCAAGCGCCCCGCGCATGGCTGCGCAGTGCCCAGACCAGCTGAATCCACAAACCGCCATGCTCCCAGGACTCCTCTGACCGCAGTACATGGGTCAAGACTGGCTGCCAGCGCATGCCAACGTCAACTCCAGGGGGCGCGTCGCCACTACAGCACCAGTACAACTGCAGCAACAACTATCCTGCCATCCCGCGGGTGCACTGGGGTGGGCGGCACCCGCTATGGTCGCTTCATGACTTCGCGCCATGCCTGACGTTCCGAAAGGGCAGCTGCCGCTGCTGCCGCTCCACAACGAGGTCTTGCTGCCCTCGCAAGTCGTTCAGCTGGTGCTGTGGAGTGGAAATGCGAAGAGGTGTGTCATCCGTGTGCAGCGCTTTCCCGGACCTTGCTGCCCTTTCCTTCCGGTGCATTGTCGTTGAAAGTCGCTCACTGCGAGCTCTTTCACGTATCACTGCTTCTACCCGTTTCGTCGGTTTCCGCGAACGCGGACACCTGCGAGAGCCGGACAATAGTAGTACATTGCCCCATCTCGCCGGGCCTTCCTTGCCGAGGACGGATTCAGGTGTTGCTGAGTATTCAGCGAAAGTGTTGCACCTTCCAGTCACGTTTATGACATTGTCCGTGACGGATCAGGTGGCGACGTCCATTGTGTGGGACATGCAACTTGTTGGGAACTAGGATGTCATTCTTGTTCGAGTTTCAAGCTGTTTTGGAGGCAGAAAAGTGGATTTCACACAAGAAATCTGAATATTTGTACACTGGCATATTGGGTAAGCTGCTCTCTCATTCAGGTCTGTGAAAGTGTCTGCATGTACCATGCCCCATACATGCAATCAGCGTTCGTGAGATGCAGGCCAAACACATTATAGGCGTTGGGACATCTGCCAGTAATGTTTTAGAAATAAGTTCTTTGCTGCAGCTGCCATGCTTTGCATACCACAAGCCACGAGTGCCCTCTCTACCACTGGTGAAACTCATCTGATGGTGGCATTTTCACCTATTTCTATCCCATTGGATGTGCCGACATGCAGCCGTACATGGATGTGGACAATGTTATGTGTTGGATTCTTGCAGCGATGCATTTGCTGAATACCTTTCCACCCAAAAAGAAGCTGACCTGCGGGTCGCTGTCATCCCAGTTGTGAAAAATGGCCAAGACACTGCCCACATCAAGGTGAATTTCCCAACTGAAGTCCTGTCTATGAACGAATAGAGCTGTTTGTACTGTGCAAGAGCCAGATGCCCTCTGTTGCTGTCCCCAGTCTCCGCATTGTCTTCATGATTTCAGAGTTTTTTGCTGCCAGACTGCTGGGTGCTTGCTGCTCCATTGCTAACCTCCTTGACTTACTTCCTTGCTTGCTTAAGGAAAACATTTCTTTGCTTGCCAGAGGGGTGGCTGGGGCCATCGCACACTCACAGGTGCTGTTGATAACGCTCTTGAGGGTCTCCATTCCATAGGGACAGCAGCAAGGGTTGTTCAGTTGTCAAGAATTCCGCAGGTGCGTCGATGTGCATGCCATCCCTCTCTAGACGTGTCATTGTCAACACAAAATGTGCCAAAAACTTCAGCATCCTTCTGACAGCTTCCCTGTTGCATTCAAAGACACCAGCATCGCCTTCTGCAAATAGAAAAGGGCTCATAGCATCATGCCCCAGAGGGGTTTGCCCTTTGTATGACTGGCTTGTCTGTCTGCCAAAATAACATCTTTGCAAATGTCATATGAGCTGATCAGCTGGTTGGCTCCTATGTCGTGTTCAAGCTGGAAGTGCTTTCAACACAGTTACTGGCTGCACTGGATACTTGGCCCTGATGGATTGCATCTTTTCACAACAGGAGAAGCAGTGGACACTTGCGCTTGAAGGACTGGAGCGCATTCATGTCCATCCCAAACACACCCATGTCAGTCAACAGGGTTTGATCACCGTTGAGGTCGAAGCGGCATCTGCAATGCTGCTGAAGCAGAGGAATGGGAGTCAACGCAATGCAATCGAGAATTCCGATGAATCCTTCAATGCAATAGCTCCAGGTCAGCCACCACTCCAGCTAGAAATTGCCAAAGTGATTAAGCTGTAGAAATGGATTGGCTAAACTAAACCACTGCCCAGGATCTGTGCTGGTGTGGTCAACAATCTGGAAGAGGTGGAAGAGTGGTGTATTCTTCGATTGTGGCATTCCTTTTGTTGTCTTTACCCTCTGTACTCCAAAGTTGGATTCTGTGTCCTGTCCCAGTACTCATGCCTTGGAGAGATTGCTGGACATTTCCGACCTTCAAATAATGTGTCTGTGTTGAATAACAGGCTCTGAAGATGAAGATGCACTTGGGGCCGAGCTGATTTCCCGTTCGAGGGAATTGCTGACAATTCTTCTCCAGCAGACAGGGAGAAGTGCCGCAACCCAAATGATGGAGCAACTGCAGAAGATGCCACCATCACAGGCAGCTGACATAATAGGATCCCTCCTGGCAATGGGTTTCCAGGTAACTTACTCAAGGGCAGAATCAGGTTGTGGTGAAGCCACAAGGGTTGCTGCCCACTTGCAGAGAGTGCATTGCACACATGCTGCTACAGTATGCAGGCGTGTTTTGAAATACAAAGAATTGCACCATAAGAATTTTTCTTGGTGGGATGAGCAGATGCCACCATTTGGTGGTGGATATGGGTTGAGGAGAATCTGTCAGCTACCTGATCGTGTTCTGGTGGTGGCAAGCTGCTAGGAAACATCTCTTTGCTGTCGATTGAACCAGAGCTTTGTATGCAGGAAAAACTTGCGATGCTTGATGCTGTGGACCATGGTGCCAGACTCCGGCAAGCCCTCAAACTGCTTGCACGATCTCTGCACACAGTTCATCAAGCACTTGGACAGAAAAGAGAAGCAGATTCCAAACAACCTGATGGTGGCTGGGTACCAGTTCTGGGGACAATTGGGCAAGGGGTAAGTAAGCCATGTGCGGTAGTCAATGTAGGATGTGCAGTCGATGTTGGAGAAGTAGGGACAGCTGTGCTGGTTGCCACAGTTGGCATGCAGATCAGGATGCAAAATGAGCAGTATCACTGACCAGCCAAGTGCCCCCTTGTGCATCCTCAACACAGGCCACAATCACAGCAACACCACTTTGAACAAATCCAGCAATGTTTGGAGTCAGCTGGTGTCACCAAGACGATGCCCTTCCTGTGGGCATTGATTTACACAGGCACATCGTCTGTCGAAATGCAGGCCACTGGATTCAAAAATTCAATCCCAGCTGTGTGTATCTATGTGTAGCTATCCCAAGAGCGTGCTGTCAAGGTGCATTTCTGGAAGGTCATGTGTAGCTTTCACTAGGAGTAAGTCAACAGTGTTCCAGGGCACAATCTGCCATCAACATATGAACCTGGCTTAAGATTCATGAATTTTTCACACTGCCATTTTGAGTTTGTTGATATTATCTCCAAGGCGATGAATGCCTGCTGATATTGCTTTTGATGCTGCCAGCTCCCTGGAGGATTGAGAAGACCCAAGAATGAAGACGATGACATTGCTGAACTGATGAAACGTATTCAAGATGCAGAGCCACCGCCAGAGGTCAGTTTCCTTCCTGGAACTTCAGTTCCTGAATGGCATATACGGGCAAGCACTTGATGTTCATTTAGTACGTATTGGCCCTTTGTGCTGGATTTGGTGGCAGTGCCAGACCTGGCCTTGTGTCACCACATACTGCTGCTGTGCACCAGGTTCTCAAACATGCATTCCGTGAGGCACGCCGTATCAGGCGTGGTGGCGAGCACCACCCCAGCTACGCCATGTCTCGGAGTTACATTGAACTCCTGGCCGAACTACCATGGAAGCGGCTCTCAACACCAGCACTACACAATCTTCAGGGCGCTCGTAACATACTGGACTCTGCTCATTATGGCCTGGAGCTTGTGAAAGCACGCGTGGTGCACTATGTAGCTGTGCAGCAGCTGAAGGGGAGTGGAGCAAGAGCTCCGATACTGTGTTTTGTGGGCCCACCTGGGTGAGCGCTCTGGATGGGGTTGTATTTACAAGAATGTTACTTCACCATGGTGCAGAGAGGGCCCAAGCCCCATACCAAGAATAACAATACCTGTCGAAATTCAGACGCTTTTCGTCGGAATTGCATGCTTCACAGTTCATAGCAGTATCGTGCAGCAGCTTCTTGTGGATAGCAGGAATGGCATGATGGCCCTCCGTGCTGTGTATCATCTTTATAGCAATTGTTGAGTGTGTCTGATGTGTTATTGCTGAATGCAGGCAGGTAGTTAAATGCCCAGTTTTGCCAGGCCCACACTTGACTGACAAGCCAGTCAGAAGCAGAAGCCCAACTGCACGGCCTAGCATAGTCCCATTTATTCTTTTCGACCGCAGAGAATCATCTTCAAACAGTTTTGCGCCGGAGAACTCTGCGATTCTCCACCCTCACCACATTCCGTGTTAGCGTGGCTGGCACCCACTGAACTGATGGTTATGCCTGGTACCAACATCTGAGTCCAAAAGTCTGCAAGAACCCATGGGAGGTGGCGTTGCTGGAGCTGTCAGTTGGTTATGGATACTGTAGAATATTATACCCTTCCGCAGTGTAATGTAACATTTGGCCAGTGCAATAATAAAAACATAACGGTGCCAAGAAATGTGAAGCAGTGCTGGCCGCAACATGCGGATCTCTGGACTGCTGATGGCGTCTAGCTACCATGCAGGCATGAGTTGTTGTGGCAGAAAACGGGCATTGGAGGCCATGCGAACTCAGCAGAGTCGCCATTACGGCTGTGGCCATGACATGGAGTCCCCAAAATGACGGCCTGTCAGAAAATGCGGTGCAAAAATGGTAATACTGAAAATTCAACGTGCGGAAGGGTTGAATAAACTACAGTATGTCGTATACTACACTGGAGATAGATTTCTGGCAATTGACGCAGCTGTGGTTCGATCTTCTGCTACCATCAGGGTGGGGAAGACATCTTTGGCAGCCTCTGTTGCCAATGTACTGGGTCGGCCTTTTGCTCGGATTTCGTTGGGAGGCGTGAGAGATGAGGCCGAGATCAGGGGCCATCGGAAAACGTATGTTGGTGCCATGCCTGGCAGGGTCATCCAGGTGAGCACAGGGAAAAATCTTTGGCAATGAGAGGAGCAAGTGCTTGCAGATAGTCTGAACACCTTTCTCTTTAATTACCTCCAGTGATTTTTGTTGCAAATGGTCAGATGTGCGCCAGGAGATGATTTGTTGTTGCAGGTTGGGGGAAAAATCTAGTTGTTCACTGCAGAGACTGCCTCCTGTGTGACCTAAATTCCTTCCCTTATAACTGTGAGTCTGTGGAGAATGTACTACAGCAGTCCCTCTGCACTTTGAACTGTTCATATTATTGAAGTATTTTACCGTATCGAAGTACCAGTCTATCTACTGGCTCAAGAATCCTTGTCACTGCTTTGGTTTGTTTTCGAAGTATGGTTTGCACTAGCTGTTAACATGGAGGGAGTAGTTGGATACCAAATCCTTCACCATCGGCCACCTGACAATGACCCCTTGTGTGCTGTGCCAAAAGGCCCTTCGCCGTGTGAATGTTAGGGATCCTGTTATGCTCCTTGATGAGGTGGACAAAATGGGGAAGGACATTCGCGGTGACCCAGCATCAGCGTTGCTAGAAGTCCTGGACCCAGAGCAACACCATGCCTTTGTGGATGCGTATGTGGGCTTCCCCTTCGACCTGAGCAGGGTGGTGTTTCTTGCGACTGCAAACCGCACCTCAGAAATCCCTGCACCTTTGTTGGACCGGATGGAAGTAATCAGACTGCCAGGGTACACCCTCCAAGAGAAGGTCAAGATCGCAGAAAAGCACCTCTTGCCAAAGGTATGGAGCATTGCTTTGTTGACAGTGATTCTCACATACAATGGCTGGTCAATGGTGTGGGCCTTGCACCTTCACACTAGCAAGAGGATGCTGCTAATGTTCTGCCACTACCAATTGGTGAGGCCAGAATTGGCTGTGTTCGCATGCAGTCCTTTGCTAGCAATTTTGGGCTGCGCATTGCTTTCATGACCATGAATAGATCCAGCAGTGTGAGATTCAGTGCAAAGGCCGGGCCTTTGCGTCGTGGTTTTGGCACCTGTGGAAGAATGTGGGTATTTTTGGCAGAAGGATGGGCAAATGGTGCAGCTCACTTGTCTGGAAGCTGTCATCTCATACATGATTAGTGTATCTTTGCAGTTTGTTGTAAGCTACACATCAACGAGGATTCTTGGTGCAATGCCCATTGTCTCCCCTGGATCATATACCTGCCGTGTGATTCTGTCAGTGCGTATCTGAGTCGATTCATTCATGATTCGAGCTGGAAGGTGTCTATGGCTCGTGGTTGATGCCACTGCACACCATGTTTACAATTATTTCATGCACTGGTGATGCTAGGTCTTAGAGGAACATGGGCTGGGTCCTGGTGGCCTGGTGGCTTCTCCTGACAATCCAGCTGTGGTCTTCCCGGAAAAGATCTTGCGCGTTATTGTGGAGCGCTATACACGCGAAGCCGGTGTGCGTGCTCTGGAACGCTGCCTTGCTGCAGTTTGCAGGCAGTGCGCATACCAAATTGTGAAAGAGCAAGAGGAGAGGGCTGGTCGTCCATTCCAATCATTTGCACAGGGGGTAGGTGCTACAGGAGGTTTGGAAGTATTTGGCAAGCCTATCTTGCCCACAAATTTGACCAGTTAATAACCTGTTGTGCCTCCTGCAAGGGAATCGACAACCCTGTACGCAGTTAGTGCTGTACTGATCATCTTGGAAGTCCTTTAGAATCGTGTTGTGCGATACCAAACGCCTGGTGCGTCAAAGACCTTGTGCAATGGCACAGTGTTGGCATTTGTCTATTTCCAACCAGATTCCTGAGCTGAGGATCTCTTGTAACTCCATTCTCCTTGTTTGGCTTGCATCAAAGTCAACACTGTGTTGCCAAGCGGCGCTTGAAAGCAGGCCTTTGGCACTTTGCTGTGCTGTACAGGGTGCTTCGTCCAGGGACGTTCTGCCGTTGGATGCTGCAACATGGAGAGACTGGGAAAACGAATGGAACACATCATCAGGCTTTCACAAAATTTGCCCAAGCTCATTTGCGATTGTTCCCACATTTTGGGCTGAATCGCCTATGCTGCACCAGCACCAGCGTGGCGCCGATGCACACCCAATGGTTCGAAAACAAGCAAGCGAACCACTGCGTAGCGCCAGCGAGCGTTTTGTCGAAGACCCTTTGGGCATGCCAACGGTGCAGGATCCACAGACAGTGCCATCAGAGGAACCGCGTCAGGAGAACACAGGCTGGTCCACTATTGTAGTTGATGAGGCTTTTTTGGAGCTCTGCCTTGGTGCTGCGAAGTACTATGGTAAGTTGAGGAGTGTGTTCAGCTTGTTGAGCGTACCGCACTCTAGAAGGCCACCCACATGCATTTTTCACCATGCCTCTGTGAGGTGTCATGGCAGCTCTTGTCGATGTTATCAGCTGGTCAGCCCAAAACTGGTTCACACAGTAGTGCACAGATTTTGTCGACAAAAGAAGCCACAAATTTCGGAGAGGTGAGTTCAGGGATTTCCTGCAGAGTCTTGGATTGAAATGTGTGCATATAGTGTGTGTGCCAGATTCCTGTAATTCATGTGTACTGAAACATGAGGTCGTTGCAGTGGGTGGTTTTGCAAATTACCGAATCTTTTCAGACACTTCACAAAGCTGACCACGTGTTCCCACCTGCACAGTAAAACACATCAAGGGGGGGGCCAAGTGAGCAGGAAACGAAATCAGGATACTACAGCAAACTCATGGTCCAAAATCTCCATCCCCAGGGTGCATGGATCAGAAATGAGAAGGTCTCTAGAAAGGGCTTCGTCCATTTCCAGAGAATAAAGCACCATGCAGGTCGGCACTCCATTGAAACATCTCAAATACAAGGAACTGAAAACTATGAAGTCAAGCAAGAATCAACAAAATTAAGCTGTGGCACTCGACCGAAAATCTGCCAGCAGGGGAAAGTCGACAACAACCACTGAAACGAGTCTCTACACCAACTGCATCTCAGCTATCCTAGAAAAAATGAACCGCTAGGACGATGACACTGAAGGAATTGTGCAAGGGATTGATGGGCCTTTCTGCCTCCGCTTGGAGGCCACCATGATAAGAGGGCTTGTGTCTGCTTCCAACAGGACCCGAGGGAAGTGAACGAGTGACTGGTCCAGGAGTAGCGGCTGGCCTGGTCTGGACGCCCACTGGCGGCATGGTTCAATACATCGAGTGCTGCTGCATCAGCCGTGGTCAACCAGGCCGCCTTGGCGAGCTCACGCTCACAGGGCACGTTGGCGACGTCCTGGAAGAATCCGCAATGACTGCCCTGTCTTGGGTGCGATCCCACGCTCACACACTTGGGTTCCAAGCTACAAGGGAGGACACCACAAACAGCAGCAACGCGCCAGCGTCCACCACAACGCCAGCAGTCACAGCGGACGAACACTATGGGAGGGCGTCTTCTTCTGAAGCAGTAGGCCACTCACCTGCGATGTGCTGGGACATTCATATGCACTTGCCTGCTGGTGCGGTGCCCAAGGATGGACCCTCAGCTGGGATCACTCTGGCCGTTGCACTCGTGTCACTTTTTGCCAACCGCGCTGTCCGACATGACACTGCCATGACAGGCGAAGTGACGCTGAGGGGCTTGGTCCTGCCAGTCGGTGGCATCAAGGAGAAATTTCTGGCTGCACACCAGGCAGGCTTTCGACGGGTGATCTTGCCGCAGAGAAATGTTAAGGATGTCGTGGCGGAGGTGTCCAAAGAGGTGCAGGAAGGTTTGGAGACAATTGGCACAACCAACCTGGAGGAGGTGATACGTCAGGCTTTTGACCCACCATACGAAGTTCTGCAGCGATCACGGCTGTGAACGAATCAGAGGCTGGCTGGTCTGATGTCACGGCAGTGGCAGGACTGGGGCAGCGGGTGCTTGCTGTACTTTAGACGCATTATGACATGCTGCTGGGGAGCCCCTCCACCTTGCCTCAGGGCCTCAGGGCGTCGTGGTTGTGTCTGCAAGCTGGAGCTACCTCTCGTGGCGACAGCAAGTCACTTTAGGCATAGTGGGTGGCAGTTCTGGCTATTCAGAGCCGAACACGACATATAGGGTATTGTAACATTCAAACATTTGTATATCTATCTCGGAGGAGAAGGAGTGCTCGTTCCTTCTTGGGAGGACAGAGACTTTGAGCTGTACAGCCCGTGTCTCGGTACTCTTGTCAAGGACGGCGCAGCCTGTTGCGGACCAGCGCGAGCTGGGTCACGATCACTATCCCCACAGGGGCCTGCCCAGACCCCCACGATGCCACCGTCGCACACAACGCAAGCACATCAGAGGCATGACCACGAGCACCCCACAAACTTCCCATCACATGCTCATCAGCAACCTGCCTCCCATATCTCCATTTTACACAATATAGTAGACAGGGTTTGGCAGCTTGAACAGCGCTGCTGCCCCAAATTCGCCTAGCAGGTCTGAAAACTGGTCGCCAAATGCTGCAACAAACTGACTGCCTTTGTGCTGCTCCAAGAACGCCTCACGCTTTTCCGATTTGTAGATCGTCGCTTTCTTCCCCACGTCAGTGCTGTTGTTCCTCATCCCCAACTCCATGTAGCAGGGCTCATCGCCTTTCATGCCCTTCCCATCTTTAGAGCAGGCTGATCCATAACCCATTTTCTTCAGGTTCACAGCAGTTGCATTGTGCAGCTCCTCAGATCTCCCTGTGATGAAAGTAAGTCCGAATCCCTTTTTCCACAGCATCTTGTACACAGCAAGTGTCTGGGGGATTGCTGGCGCCCTGGCCTGCAACATCCACTCCCGGCTCTTCTGCTTGCTGTACTCCCTGTCCCAGTCTTCGTTCCGCATGTCTTCCAGGTTGGATAGGCAAGTCTCGTCGACGTCGAAGATGGCTACCATGGATGAATTGACCTGAAGGCATAGGTCGTCAGAAAAGCAAAGTGCTCGTCCACACAGAGAACACAGTCATTCAAAGGACACCCCCATCCACAGCACTGTGCTCAATAACCTTTGGAGCCCACTGGCGCGTCCTATTTGTTTCCGAGCACAGTACAACATTTTCGGCCCATAGCACATCTTCAACACCACACCAAGATCATATCATGAAGGAGATGCACAGACAGCTGCACTTTGAACAGTCCACATTTCATTTTAATTTCTTTTCTTCAGCCGTCCTGCGCACTTGGTACTAATGGGTGGTGGCCTGTGAAATGGAAGCAAAATCAAACCTTCAGGTTGTGTGCATGTGCCCACCATTAGAAAGGGTAAGGGCCATGCTCGGTCCTGTGAAGGCAGATACAGTCACAGGCCTGCAGCACTCCGGACAATCAAAGCCCACTTCAGGTAAGCAGATTCCACCAGCCATTCCCCGGGCGGGCTCCCCACACAATCCACTCACCTCCGGGAAGAGCGTCGCGTTGCCAAAGTACGCCTGGGCGGCGTTCAGGGCGATGTCCAGGTCGCGCTCGTACTGGCCCCCCTCCTCAAAGTACCGCTCGAACGTGGACGCGCACTCCTCGCGCTGCAGCTGCGGGAAGTTCAGGCTGTCCTTGTGCGCCACGCCGCCGCCCAGCGCGTACAGGCAGTGGAACGCCAGCGACTCACCGGCCTCGCAGGCCCTCCGCGGACGCGCCAGGGCGACGACCACCAGCACGAACAGCGCCAGGGCCAGGGCCCCCACGCAGGCACACGCCACCATCCATCTGCGCTTCAGCGGCCCGCCCCTGCCGCCCTTCTCCCCCACGCGGTCGTAGTCGAAGTCCTGCCGCACGCCCTCGAAATTCATCGCCCCACGGCCGTGCCGCAAAATGCTCCGTCAAGGGCCCCCGAACCTCCCGCTGGATCGATCGGTGCGGAAGGCCGCCCAGGGATCGAGGCGGATGCCCCTGTGGGAGCGTGGCGCCTTTTCGCGCGGCGCCTGAGCGGGCGCCGGCGCGGCCCTCGAGGGATGTGACGGCCGCAGGGAACGGCCCGGTAAGGGCGATTCGTTTCAGAAACCGCAGGGGTTGATCGGCCGAGTGGCGGGGGTCCGTGGGAGGCTGCTGGTCCGGGTAGTCGGTCGCCTCCGAGGCGGCGCTGGAGGGGGGTTGGTCCCTTGGCACCTGCGCCCTTGGGGACGCTCGTTCAAAGATGGCGCGCGTGTGTGGTGAGAGGTGCCGGGGCTGGGTTGGGGCAAGGAATGGCGTCCAAATGACGAATCTCCCTGGCAATGAGCCCCCGCCCGAATGAGCTCAACTTCACGCCGAGGTTGCACCCACAATGGGCGACGGTCAGTGCGGCATGTAACCACCAAGCGGGGCACAATCCCCGCGTACGCACAGAGCAACGCAAGTGTGGGCCTGCTGAAGTTGGTCATTTCCAGTCCATTATAACGTGGCAAATGACTACATCAACTTCATTTAACAGCCACCTGAGATGGACTACGACGACCATTTTCACTTCTTGGGATTACATCTAACTGAATTTAAAGTGAGTACAGCCAAAGCGAAGGAGCTGCTATATTATAGATAACTGCCTGACAAGGTAATATTATGAACTGATGGGATATGGTGGGGTCTGACTTCTGGGCAAGGAAGCAACAACAACATCGAGACTCACCATGGATCAGTACATGTTGACTGACCATAAACACGTTGAAATCATTCAAGAAGGCTACAAGAGGGAACGAATACATCTGTATATCAAGATAACCGTCTAAACAATTCTCTCGAGCTACCAGGAAGACCGTCCGTAGTGACTAGACGTTCGTGTGAAGGCACTGCTAGCCGTCAGCCTAGCTGGGACTATAACAGCGTCGCATCAAGCCCAAGACTTGTCTGACATCAGCGCATGGTCCAATAAGGCATTCATAAACTGGAGCTGGCCTTGAGCACCGACCCATTGCCAGCTGAACTCTGACCACTGCCTCGTGGGAATCTGTGCACCATGGCGGGAGGCCGATTCCGTCAGGTTGAGGTCTGAAAGTTCTTCATTGCACAATGGCTTACGGTCGGTCACCTCCGCCTATCTCGTTGGGCGTTGAAGCGAGTGGACTCACTAGTTAGGTTCTGGTCATTTTTGATGGTTGCGAAGATTCCGTTTAACACAGAGGACACTGCGTGGATTCTGCGGGAGCGGCAGGAGGACAAGGAGTGGGTTGAGTTGCAAAAACTGGCGTGAGATGCACACCTACGGAATGCGTGTACGCAAGTCGACGGGATTCATATGCTAGGGTTAGGAGAGGCTCCTCCGTGGAACAAATCTTACGACCCCCATGCAATCCATCATGAGTGGAAGCTCAAAGTAAACGTCCAGGAGATAGAGCCGTATAGTGGCATGGGAGTGTCTGCCTTCCAGGTGCGCTTCCGGAATATGCTGAAGCGGGAAGGAGCCAGGGTGACGGATAAGAACGGGTGCCAATTTGTTTTTGAATGGCGGGAGATCGACATACGCGCAGAGGTTGCCATTCCATTTGCTGACCAACGATGATGAGTTTGGAGGGAGGCGGGCGTGGAAGGCGTGAATTTGCATGAATGATACCTACGGACTTCGATTTGGAATCCCCCCTGAGTACCAAGACTTCGGGACCAATACACTGCCCAATGTGGATGTACGACGCAGCTTTGTCTTTGATGCCACCTATCGTGAGTTGGCGGTACAAATCAATGCTGGCATGCCAGCACAAAATAACGTGGAGGTGAGGGTAGAGAGGCGCACATGGTGTCAGAGCTTTTGCAAACACAAACCCAATTTGAATATGACAAATGGCGGCAGTGATGGGAGTCAGCCGATACCGGCGCTTCCCCCTAGTTTTGATGAGGGGCCATCGGCACATGTATTGCCGCCTGGGTTCAGCCTTGTTGATGTGAATTGAGAGCTTTGTGTATCTTGTGATCGCCGGCGCTTGAAGGGACCTGACTTAAAGCTGCAGCGACACACAAGGATCTCTGACAGAGGCCACAGTTTGATGGGAAGATATCGATGTACCATCTGTGGCACTATGATTGGATGGGGTGGGGTCACAGAGTGTTGGACACGGTGTTGATCAAGGGAACAGTCAAACTAGGATAGTGTTTGTACGGTCCATGGATCTGACGCAGAATGGTTGATATGTAAAGTCTATGGGTGTGGGGTTCCTGCCCTTTTTGAGCCGCGGACCCGCCTCGCTGGGCACCTAGGTCCTTACAGGGACCTAGGCGGGACCACCCCTCCTACTCCCGTATCCTAATATCTAAAGCGGTTACTATGGGTTGAGGATAGTTATCTTGGGCAGGGCGTCCCCCACACCAAGGGCCAGTAGTAGGGCGTCCCCCACATCAGGCCGGTGCGCGTAACATTCGTCCCCCTCAGGGAGAGGGGCGTCCTCGTCCCAATGCGTGGAGACGGGAGCAGAAACATTATGTATGTATACGGCAACTGGCTGTGCGGATTGCCACACGCCCAGTTTGCACGATAGTCATACATACATTATACATATTGTAGTGAAGAGAAAGAGTGGTTGTTTTACATAACCTGCTGGCCTTTGACAACTCTCATTAAAACTCTTCGTTCAGCACTTCGGTTGCAAGGTTCTGACCTTCCGGCCTATGCCCGTCCAAGGGAAACATGTGGAACATGCAGGCTGACCTGCACGTCCCCGACCCCGACCCAAATACTTGCTGCCACTATATGCCCAGCTATGTCCTCCCCGAGGCTGCGAAGTACCTCGTCCTTGCCCACGTCCACGAACGGGCTCACGAGGGGGTTGGATCAATGGCTGGTCGGTGGCCAGGCGTTCCCCGTTCAAGATAGCTGCGGACATCGCGTTCATGTGTCTGAACAACGTTCTTGTATAGGGTCCGGTATAACCGGTTTGCTTCTGTGCCCATTTTAGCAAGACCTGTCAAAGGCATAACCACACATGAGCTTATTTCAACATGTACGTTTCGTACTTCGATCAGTTGATACATGCACAGCAGGAGTTCTTCCATTTTCAAATGCTTGAACCAGTTTCTGTGCATTTGCAACTGCTTTTGCTGATTCCCAATTATTATGCTCATGTCCATATCCCAGCCATTTGACAAGGTACTCTACCGAGTTTTGGCGCCTTCCGCGCTTTTTAATTCTTTTGTACAAAATGCGTTCAACTTCATATTCCAGTTCCCCTTCGATTTCGATAGGGACTGGAGGTGGCTGTACTTTGCCACGTACTTATATTGACACGTGAAATACCGGATGTATCTTATGCATGCTTTCCGGAAGTTCCAGTCGATATGCGACAGGACCTATCGGGTCGAGGATGGTGAAGGGCCCAATCCACCTCGGTAGTAGTTTTTGAGTTCCAGGGTGCTTGAGGGTGATATGCTGTGTTGAAAGGAGGACGCCATCTCCTTTATTAAACGACACATCCCTCCGATGGCGGTCTGCATGCTTTGACTGCCTATCCCGTGCTTTTTCTAAGCATGCCCTGGCCTCTTTCAGCGCTGATTGGACACGGTGATCAAATCGTGTCACGGCTGGTAGGCTCTCCACGAGGGGTGTACCAGTATGCCTTAAGTAAGGCTATTGCGCCCTATCAATGGCCACTGCCAAGCCACGGGCATTCGGATTGACAATCCATAACAATGTCATGGCCCTTCAAAGGCTTCCGAATCTGCACCCCAAGAGCTAAGGGACTCTTTGGGTGTCGACCGTAGTTCAAGTAGAACGGGGTCTCTTGGGTGGAACTGTTTTTCGAGTTGCTCATTGCAAACTCGGCCATGGCTAACAGTTCATCCCACGCGTCATGGTCAGAACGCGTATAGCTGCATAAGTAATTCTCCAAAATCCGATTCATAACTTCGGTCTGGCCATCCGTTTGCGGATGGTACGCAGTGCTCATGTTGAGCTGAATCTTCCACCTCTCGGCCAGGTACCGGTAAAACCTGGAAGTGAACCGAACGTCTCTGTTGGACACTATTTGAGAGGGGAGACCATGGTGCCTTATCACATTTTGCACCAACAGGTCGGCTGCTCCTTTTGCGGAGAGCTCAGTGGTCGTGGCTGCGAAGCGGACCATTTTGGTCAGTCTATCGACGAACACGACGATAGCATCATGACCTCCCTTAGTTTTTGGTAGTTGTGTAATGAAGTCCATGGACAATTCAGTCCATGGCTCCTCAGGAATGCCCAGAGGCTATAATAAGCCTGGGGTCTTTTGACGAGAGTACTTGGCCTGTTGACAAACCAGGCAAGTATCAACATATAGTTGGATTCCTCGTTGCATTCCTGGCCACCAGTAATGCCTCTGGACCAAGTCCAGGGTCTTGGCTTGACCAAAGTGTCCTGCACTTGGATGGTCATGAGCCAACTGGCAGATCTCAGTCCGCAGACTGGCTGGTATATATACCTATTTGCCTCGCAGCCATAACCCATCTGTACAGCGCATCTCTTGCTGCTGTTTTACAGACGCAAGCTGGGGATCCTGGCCATAGGCCCAACGGATCCTGGAGGCCAGATCTTCTGCCTCTACCGTCTTTTTCTTATTTCCCTGCTTGTGTATTACTCTTAAGCCACAGACAATCAGTTGACTTTTCCTCCTGGCTTCCCGTTCGTCGGGAGATGGAGGAATGCGAGAGAGTGGATCAGCCACATTCTTTTGCCCTGGGCGATATTCCCAGTCAAAGTCAAATTGTTGTAAGATTTCAAACCACCTGGCCTGTCTTCAGCTTAGTTGTGGTTGTGACTTAAGGTAAGTTAATGGACAATAGTCTATCACCAGTTTGAAGCGTGTCCCTTCAAGGTAACACCTCCATAACTGGATAGCGTGAATAGAAGCTAACGCTTCTT